GTGGGGAGGGAAAGCGGAGCAGGGAGGGGAGCCGATGCCTGCGCAGGGCTGGGGCACGGGGAGGCCACTGCAGGGAGAGACAAAACCTGGGGCCACCTCGGGTGTGGCCGGGGGGGACCCTGCTGTCCCCAGCTCCGCGCCCGTCGCAGGCAGCCCTCCTCCAGCAGCACACCCCCCTGCGAGAGCAGTCCCGCGATGGGGTGTCTTTCCTGGTGGATTTGGGGTGCGCGGTTCCCCCCATTTGGCATCCTGGCAGCGGGCAGCCCACAATGGAGGGAGCCCCTTGCCCTCCTCGGGTGCCACCCGGGAGTGGAAGGTGCCGTGGCTCCCAGGGCCAAGGGCCACCATGGGGTGTAGGCACTAGAGCCAAGGAAATGGTGCAAATCAGGCACTGAACCCCAAGCAGAGCCGCCCCACCATGCCGGGGGGGCTGCAGCAATCCCCATCCCCCTGCCCGGCACCAAACCCCCGTGCCCCAGCGCAGGCCTTGTGCCAGGGTACCCCCACACCGGGGACCACAGGGACGCATCTGTGCCCCCTCCCTGGGCACAGGCAGAGTTCAGCGGTGACAAATCCCAGCCCCAAGCTCCCGTCAAGGACAACGGTGGCACGGGATGAGGACACCCGCCTGCCGATCGCAGCATTTATGCAAATGCCTGAGCGGAGCGGGTGTGAGTCTCCCATGTGGGCAGCTGCCTGCAGCACCCCGGGGCCCCCCAGCATCCCCCCCACGGGACCCAGCACCCCTCCAAAACACCTCAGCACCCCGTGGGATGAACCCCGGGGTCACTGTGCCGGGGCAGCCCTGGGAATCATTATGCACCACTGCAGGGTACAAGCACCCACTGCACATGGGGAAACTGAGGCAGGGGGGTGCGGTGGGAAACCTGGGTGCCCTGGCTCCCCCAAAGCAGCTTGCATTTCGGCATCCCATGGAGCCTCAGTGTAAAGTCATCACTTACCAGGCCCAGGAGGAGGAGGAGGAGGAGGAAGGCAGAGCCATCTCAGTTGATGCCAAGGGGAGCAGTGGGCTGGGGCGGCAGCAGCCCCATCCCAAGCACAAAGCCACCCCATCCCTCCCTGCCGCTGCTGCTGCCTCCTCCAGCTCTCCCTCTCCCCTCCCCAGCCATGTTAATTAAACCTGAGTGCTTAATTACAACCTGCTGAATCCCGCAGCTGCTTCCCAGAGCCCGCTAGCACCGTGGGGCCAACCCTGACCCCCCCACATTCTCCCCCATAGGAAATGGGGGAACCAGGGGAGCATCCCCGTGCTTGCGGGATTTGGCTTGCAGCTCATCAGCGGCGTTAAGGGATCTTCAGGCAACGCATGGAAAAGAGCAAACCCAGCCGGCAGGACTGGGAAAGTCATCCCGGGGGGTTGTGGCCTCTCCGGGGAGAATGGGGACAGATGGCTTGGCCCCAGGGTTGTCCCCAAGCTGGCAGGTCCCCCAAGGGGTGCAGAGAGAAGGGGATGCTCAGCCAGTGCCTGGCGAGCTCCCGGTGACACCAGCTGCTGGCAATAAAAAAATAATTGAGGCAAATAAGGTGAAGTCCAGCGGCGGCGTGCAGAGCTACTGACTGGGGTGGGGGGAGCCAGCGTCCCACTGGGCTTCCCCTCCTGGTCCCCCACCAGTGGGTCCCCGGGGTGGGGAGGTGCCCGGGCTGACCCTCTCGCCCTCCTACCCACAGGTCTCCGCCGGCCCATGAAGTGATTCAGGCGGTGGCACAGCCCCTGCTCTTGA